CAGCAGTGCTTTTTGTGGATATCGATTCAACCCAGTGGCATTGTTTGGCGCTGCTTTCACTTATCCACTGGGTAGGCTTACCTAATGGGTAATGTTCATATACTTCCACTGGATTCGAAATTTTTCTTGGACCGCCTTCAACTGCTTTTTAGCTAAGGAAAGGAAATCCTCAAGAAAAGAACAATTTTTTAACCACAAATTGAATTCGAAAAAATCACGTACCTCATTGCCAAAGGAGAAAATCTAGTTTTTTTACACATGTATCGAGATTTTCATTATATGTCGGAATCCACAAGTAGCTCAAAACAAGTGAATTTAGGCGGATTTTACAATTCGAATTTGACTCGGTGGGGTAAACTTCTTCTTATTTCAGAGCACTAGACCAAGGTGCATACACTTGCGAAGCCATCAACGTAAAAGGACGAGTTCTCGCTACACCCGATTGCATTGTTCGAATCGTTAACATTCCGGCACCAGAGCCTCCACCAAGGCCTGCGCCAATTCCACAGGTCACTTGTGACACCCGAGGATCCGTATCCATCTACACCCAAGAAGTTGGCGGTTGCTCGTGCAAGGTGACTCTTCCTTTAGCTTTGGGTATTTTTGTTTAAATGAAGGTTTCAAGGAACTTGTGACTGGCCCAACTTGCGACGTATGTCTCCCAGGATCGTTCTATTTGGATGATAGAGCACCTCAAGGTTGCCTAAAATGCTTCTGTTTTGGAGTGACAGACCAGTGCCGTTCAAGCTCGTGGTACAGGACTCAGGTAAGCAGAAAGAATTTTTCTGGCATTATTTTTTTGCTACAAAAAACAAGTCCTAATGAATTTTTTGCAATTTTCACAGTAATAATTTATGTCAGTTGAGTGTGTCATGGAGAACGCTCGTATTTTTGTTTAGACTTTGTGTTTGTAACAGCGTGATCTTGTCCGTTGTCTTGCCTTGTCGTCTAAATAATTTAAGAAAATTATTGCAAACAAAGAAATTGCTCATTTTATGTAACTTTTTCTTCTTCTTCTTCTCATTTGTTATATTGACC